CCGCAGCCTAATTTTCATTTTTGACTGAACTAACCCTTTAAAACACAGGCCAAGAGAAATTCCTCTAACCTGTTTAACGTTAATCCACAGCGCCTCAGCCTGGCTGAGTCCTGTAGGTGCACCCCGAGAGCCATTCTGAGGAAAAAGTGGCAGAAGAACCTGGCCCACACTGTTATAAGGAACGGGAACTCCCAGCAGAAGTGCCAGCGTGGGCACCAGATCAGTCTGAGGTACTACCTCAGGTTCCACCTACAAACATAAACATGCTGAACTCCAAATGTATGGAAAAAGGCCAAAGATAACCCAAAGACAAAATTTAAATTCCTCTCTCATAGAGGCACTTTTTTTGTTGTTATCATTTTCCACATTTTAGGAAATGGGGAAAAGGCTCATAATTCTGCTTTTTTTTTAATTAAACAACTTGGTTTGAGTTTCCATTTCAAGACTTCAATATAGACATGGTCTAAACATAAAATATATGGATTGATATATTCTTTCCCATTTGAAATCATTTGCTATTAAGTACATATATTTTCATTTCTGATTTTGGGCGAAAGTCTCTGACTTTTGAGGAAGTTGCAATTTCAAGCATGTTTGTTTAAAAAGTTAATAATTAAATAATTACATAATATTTGCACATCTACATCACAGAGGATCTCACCTGGACCACCAACACCATGTCACTCTCCAAGAAGGCACAACGGCGCCTACACTTTCTCCGCCGGCTGAAAAGAGCAAGTCTCCCTCCACCCATCCTCACCACATTCTATAGGGGCACCATTGAGTGCGTGCTGACCAGCTGCATCACTGTCTGGTATGGGAACTGTAGTGCAGCAGACCGCAAGACCCTCCAGCGGACAGTGAACACAGCTGCAAAGATCATCGGTGCCCCTCTCCCCTCCATCCTGGACATTTTCCTTACACGATGCTCCAGCAAAGCCAACAGTATCGTGACGGACCCCACCCATCCCTCCCACAGTCTCTTCCAGCTCCTACCATCAGGAAGACGGTACCGGAGCATCAGAGAGCCCGCTCCGCCAGACTGCTCAACAGCTTTTTCCCCCAGGCTGTGAGAGCCCTGAACTAAAATCACCCCGCCCTCCTCTGAAACCCCACACAACCCCCTACCTCCTGAAACATGGACCATCTCACCAACCTTACCACATCACAAAAAACTGTCTGAAACAATTCGAAGTGTGCTACAGGGCCTGCACAAACCACCTGTAGAAACACACTCTCCTCTATGCGCACTAGACACTTTTCACACACACTGCTTTGTGTACATAATCCCACAAAAGACTCCGTAATAGGTGTGTTTACATGCTCATGCACTACAAATCATCTGCACTGTTCCCCAGCCAGCTGCTTGACTTACGATGTTTCTCTTTGCACATGTACAGTATTATGTGAAGCATCCGTATAGTCTGTATTGTATTTTATTTTATTTTTTTTTGTTTTTTTTGTTTTTTTTAATTTATGCATAGGTAAACATTTATATATAGTATATTCATAGTCAAAATCTGTCAGTAGGTTAGCTGTGTATAGGTACAGTGTTTATGTGAAGCATCCGTATAGTCTGTATTTTTTTAACTTATGTATAGGTAAACATTTATATATATATATAGTATATTTATAATCAAAATCAGTCAGTAGGTTAGTTGTGTATAGGTTTTTACTGCTTTACTGTATAGGTTTTTACTGTTTTACGTCATTGTTGTATGCCTGTATTTATGTAACACCGTGGTCCTGTGAGGCACGACATTTCGTTCCATTGTATGTCCCCACATGCAGCAGAATGACAATAAAGCTCAACTTGACTTGAACTTGACTTGACTTGATATGGCTTACTCTTCATCATTACATTTCATGATGAAACATTTAATTAACATTAAAGTCTCTGCACTTAAGTGTAACACAAGTAAACGGTACTAATGCAATTACAGACCAGTAGTGTTGACTACAGCTTTACTACAGTATCCTTTTTGTGTGCCATCCTGAAATTTTCTCCAACTGACCACCCGGCTAAATTATTCCTGGACACACCAGTGGTTGTAAATTATTAAATACAGACTAATCATAACAGTGCCTCTTTTACCTGGGAGCCTGGTGATGGAAATAATGGAGAGGAACTGTAGAGAAACAGAGCAGCATCTGTCTCTTTCTGGCTCTCTCCACCATGATCCCCAGTGTCTGTCATTCCATGATCACCCATCACCACCAGCAGGGTGTCACTCTTCAGACGCTTTATCACTGACCTGGGGTCAGCGGTGAGACAGTAGCAGATGGAAAGCAAATGCATAATGCAAGAAAATATATTAAAACTGTAACATGGCAAAATGTGGGTAGATGAATGAGGCTGCTGCTAACCTGATAACTCCATCCATCTGGGAGAGTTTCTCAGCCATCGCAGGGTGATCCGGGCCGAATCTGTGCCCACAGTGATCCACACCGAGGAAGTGAGCAATCAACACATCCCAGTCATCCCCCTCCACTGAAGAAAAAAAACACAAACTCATAGCCACTCATTCAGACACTGTGTTTACAGTGTACACATGAGAGATCTGTACATCTATTTACAAGGTAAACAAAGGGAGATCTTAAACCAACCAGGCAAGTTCCTAATTAATGTGCAAATCATTCTGCTTACTGGTAGGATAAATGTTTTGGAGAATGCCGTTGTCAACAGTGTGCAAGTCCTTCACATTGAAGGAGGGGAAGGACAGTGATCTGTGAAACTTCTTGGGGAAGAGACCCACCCATGTGTCATCCCCCATAAAAACAACTCTCTTGCCTTTAAACCAGGAGAAAAACAAAACAAAATCATTAATAAAGACGAACAAAAAAATCTACACTTTAGATCATTTCAATCTAAACAGGATTCATTTAATTCAATAAAATAGTGACTTTCGTTATTTCTACAAATGTCATTAATTGCAATAATGCATTCTGGCAAACAACATGATTATAGTAATATACTGCTATAAATATTGCTTTTTGTTTTAGCAAATCTCATAAAGGTCACAAAAATAGGTCCTGGTCCCACAAATGAAAACAAAATACACTACAGTTCAAAAATAAATAAATAAAATTAGGTTGGTAAGATTTTTTGAAGTTTCGAAAAAAGTCTATCATGCTCATCAAGGCTGCATTTATTAGATTAAAAATACAATAAAAATTTTATATTGTGAAATATTATTACAATTTAAAACAAAGGTTTTCTATTTTAATATATTTTAAAAAGTCATTTATTTCTGTGATGCAAAGCTGAATGTTCAGCATCATTACTCCAGTCTTCAGTGTCACATGATCCTTCAGAAATCATTCTAATATGCGGATTTGATGATTAAGAAACATTTATTTTTATTATCAGTGTTGTAAACAGTTTTTGTGGAAACCATGATGCATTTTTTTTTCAGGATTCTCTGATGAACAGAAACTTTGAAATAACAGCATTTATTTAAATGTATATTATTGTAAATCTCTTTACTGTCACTTTTGATCAATTTAATGTCAAAGCGTAAAAAAGTTTGGTGGGGTTTTTGCATGGTAATGAGATCTGGTGGAAATGTGCAGAAAAGGCTTTAAATAATTATATAAATGTGAAAACAAATTTTTAAGTGGTCCTAAAAATAGTCTTCATTTTCTTTACAAATATATAATTTCTTGACAGGTTTGGTGAAAAGGAAAATACCAGTTGCAGATTCACTCACCCACTTGGCCCAGCTGGTGCACTAGATTGTCTTCCAGAATGGCATTGGATGCAAAGTTGTTCCCCACATCAATGAACGTGGGCAGGGAACCTGTGGTAAAGCCTTTGATCCTCTGCATGGTAGTGGTGGGCGGATCGGCCCGAAAGGTGTAGAGTCTGGCATGAGAGGGGTGTAATGATGCCATCTCATCTAACACCGGCAGCTTGTTCTCGAACGGTTTGGGTGCCGTGTTCTCTGGATCATAGCGGGTGAAGTCGGCCTTCAGGGCGTCAATGATCAAGACCACTGCCCTGCGAAAGCGTGGCTCACTCAAGCAGAAATCTCCTTTCACCTGGGCTCCTGGAGACAAGACGTCCGCACAGGTGCTCGTTCTGTTGACCGCCAGCCTGACTAGGAGGAAGCCTCCCACAAACAGAAAGATGCCCACATAAAATACTGAGCAGACCCAGATGAGGGCGACCAGGACAGGAAGTCTTCTCATTCTAGACAAGATGAGAAGGAGAATCAACATAGGGCTCATTATGTAATTGGGGGTACATGTCACATCAACCAAAAAGTACAAAAACAATACGGTTTCTCTATAAGATTATTTGTTTCAGTTTAGTTTCAAAGCTTAATCATTAAACACAATTTGGTATTACAAGGGAAAGGACGTTTTCCTGGTGAATTTGTCAACTATGTTAGAGACAAACTTTATGTCATATAGTGATTGCTTTTAAATAATTTTAAGAATCATATATATATTTTTTTTTTTTTTTTTTTTTTTTTTTTTTTTTGCAGATATACATACACAGTCAATTTGGACAGAATTTTTTTTTATCATAATTTTGGTCATTTTGACAGATGTTATGAAAAACTCCAACATACACTTTACAGTGTAGGCCAACGACATGTTATTTTCTTGATCAGGTTAACCTCAAATTTGAATATATGTTTGAATTAAAATTATGAAAAATAATGCAAACCAAAACAGTGAACCCAATATAGTTGATGGTCAATTAATATAGTCCTTAATAGGTTATTGTAGATTTTATATTGAACAAAATAAGAGAACACTTTCAATAATGTGTTCAAAATAAAATATGTAAAAAAAAAAATAAAAATAAATCAAATGATGTGCAGACACACGAAAAATAACTCCACTTAAATTACTTTTTCTGAACTTAACTTCGAAAAAAATATGTAAAAAAAATATAAAAAAATAAATAGATGATGTTGACTGTAACATTTTACTCATTTTAAATTCAAGACTCACTCACTTCATAATGGACACTGAAAAAAACTGTTATTTAAGCAACATCAACGCAAATTCAAGCAAACTGAAACACTGGGTACACAACATATTTGTGTAAGATTATTAAATGCTTTCCTTCAATGGATAAAATATCACTAGCCATTGCAATTAGTTCCCTTCCTGGTCACCCTAAGTGTAACACACTAGGTTTTGAGACACAACTACAACAAGCAATGTTACGTAGTAAATCAAAACAGTACTGTGAATATAATATGACTGTGACTGTATATAATATGAACCAGGCCTTACTAGTACATACTATGGAACGCACTTAAGATGAGTGCATAAATGCAGGCGAGTGTGTATTGCATGCTTCCAGTACTGACCTTGCTTCTGTGTTCGTCCTCTCTCTCTCTCTCTCTCTCGCGCTCTCTTTCTCTCTTCAGGAGCTGAAATGTAGACCGCGCATCCACTGCAGGGGCCTGGAGAGCCGCAGGTTCACCGACATCTGGCAGCGGCGCTATCAGAGCCTCACTGCTGCTCTATACTCGGTGACACGCAGCCTAACTGCATGTCGGTTGTGTTTTAATACTGGTCATCTCGCAGCCCGGTCTCCACTTCCGTTGACAAATAAAAGACACCGTTTACTGATATTCAAAATAAAAGCCTCTCGGGTCATGCTACATCGACTGATCGCACGTTTATATTAATTTTATTACTTAAATATATACTAAACCTTAATGGGCCTTTTAATATAGCGTGTCCAGTCGCGCTCAAGTGCGAATGTGTCGGGGAAAATAGCAAGGAAATATTTTAATTATTTATTACTAAACTAGTGTTTTCTGAGTCAGTGGCTGCAGAGACTAAGCTGACGATTCCGACTCGCAATTGTTTAAAAATAATTAAATGGAATTGCAGAGTATTAACCAGTGTTGGGGAAAGTTACTTTTAAAAGTAATGCATTACAATATTGCGTTACTCCCTAAAAAAGTAACTAATTACGTTAGTTACTTTTTATGGAAAGTAATGCGTTATATTACTTTTGCGTTACTTTTTAAATATAAGCAGGGCTTGATTGTTTTTAATATAAGAAGTTCTATTTATAGCAAATATAAAAGCCCTGTCACATCAAAAAGTGTAATGAATAAACCTCAGGCTGAAGCAAAAGTAAATTCATGTCTGTACAGTAGAACGCAGGAGAAGAAACACTCTTCAGCAATAAAAAAACAAAGAACAATTTTTAGTTTCTCTAAAGTCATTTTTGCCTATTAGTACGGTTGAACTGGATCATCAAAGGTCAGCAGCAAAGACATTGGTTAATAAAATGGGATTAGATACATTTGTGTTATTTAACATATTTAATTATTGCAGGTTTGCGTCATATTCTGAGTTTGCATTTCACTGTTTTAATTCATTTTGATGAATACTAAATCTGTTTTTTCCTGAGTGGGGTGAATTAATGCACATTCACATTTAGTCTAATATACAGTAACATCATGTTCACACAGCGCACACAACGCCTCTGCACTTCCAATTTTTCCCAATATGGGGACAGGAGACTTGTCAGTCAATAAATGGGAAAACAAAGTAACTGCCATTACTTTTTTGAAAAAGTAACTCAGATATTTTCTTGTAAATTAAAAAAGTAATGCGTTACTTTACTAGTTACTTGAAAAAAGTAATCTGATTACGTAATTCGCACGACTTGTAATGAGTTACCCCCAACACTGGTAATAACACTAGAATACTAGAAAGGTTTTTTTTTATGGAAAAGGTTGTGGGGCCTTGCAGTATTAATTTGGAGAGGAGGGGGGCCTTGCAGTGAAAAGCCACTGGGTTAGATCAATGCGAAAATCGACCTATGTTTTTACGCAGCATAAACAGTTATAAATGTGAACCGGAGCATCGACAAAAAGCTAATGTGCCTTCAAAAATCTAAACAGTAAGACTTTCTGTATTTGACGTGCTACGATTGGTCAGCGAAGTGCGGCTGCTATCTGATTGGCTTGAGTAGACGGTGGGTGGAGTCAGGCTTTTGTCAGCGTCTGGACACCAGAAATGTTTCAAAATCCACAAATGCATGCAGCGAGCGATCCACAAATGCACGGGACGTGATTCACAAATGGCAAAGTTGTGTTTGTGACATAAAATATATATTTCTGAATATGTTTTTTATTTGCAAATCTCATTTTATTTATTTGTGAATTTAATTCATGTTTGTGAAACTCTAATATTTATTTGTGGATCTCAGTCTATTTATTTGTCAATATGTTTAATTTTTGTTAATCTCATTGCATTTATTTGTGGATCATAATCTGTTTATTTGGAATTATGTAACAATTCTATCTCCATAGACAAGGGCCGGGTTAGGGCCTAGATTTGAGGCCCATGCAGGGCTTTATTAGCCGCGTTTAGTATCTGTCGTACTGGCTCGAAATTATGTCGATTGTAGTTAAAAAATAATTGTGTCCGGCAGGATTTTATTACTGTATTAAGCTAACTTATTACAATACTGCGTAAATAATTTGTAAAATATTTTTAATTTTTAATTAACTAAATTTAAATTTGTCCAAAAAATTTGAGCTTATATAAAATTTTGGAAAACGTTTTTGTGTTCCAGAATTTTATTTTATTTTATTTTCAGAAAATTTAAAACAAAATCATCATATGTGGAACATGGAACATGTTTTTATAACTTTTTATTTTATTATTTTATTTCATTTTCAGGGGAATATTACGGTGACCGAGAAGTGCAAAACAAATAACAATTCTGAAAACAAAATAACAAATTACAAATGCAAATGCAAGTCTACAAAACAAAATAACAATTCAGAAAGCACAACAACAATTCAGAAAACATTATAACAAGTCAGTGTAAAACATCAGCTCTAGTGGCGCAGATGGATAAGTGCGTGTTGTTGGCTTTTTGACACGATTGACCCGGGTTCGATCCCGTCTTTTGCTGAACAGTTTTTTTCTCCCTTTTCAAATCTCATATCACATCGTAAAGGCATTTATTTTCAATAAAAATTAAGGAAATAATCAAAAGGTTGAAAATAAAGTATCGGGTAGGGTTAGGGTAGGTGTAGGGAGGGCTTTATTGTACCAATAAGGTGGCATCCATGTAATAATTAAAATTTAAATTATAATTTACACTCAATACGTTATTATTGCATACTGTTTTTATAATGTACTACAATACTGAAGTGCAGATAATTGCCACTATTTGCAACAAGTAGTATATTTGATAGTAGAAATCCTGCTATCTTAACATAGTGTAAATAAGTATTTTCACTTAGTGTAAATAGCATATTGCTAAAAATACTGCTATTTTCACTTAGTGTAAATAGAATCCATTGCTAATACGAGATTTGAAAAGGGAGGGAAAAAAAGTTCGGCAAAAGGCGGGATCGAACCCGGGTCGAGTAGAATATAAAGCAAAGTTCACACAACATAATACATCTTACCTGGAACTGAAAATGTTGTCATTTTATTTTATTTTATTTTTCAGGAAAATTAAAAAACAGTATAATATTTTATTGTTTTCATAGGCTACTTCTTGATTTTACTCCCTAAAAAAATTAATCATAGGCTTTTTGTTAGTAAATTTATTTCTGTGAAGATGAAATTTGACAAGAAACAAACATTTAATTTGCTTTACAAAGGTTATCAGGTCAAAACAGTTATCTTTTAAAATAATGAAAAATGCACATATAGACATTCAATAATAAATATACTTAAAG